TCGGTTGCGTCGCAAATGTGATGAAGGCGCCCACCCCAGCTGCAGCCATTTCTGACAAATGCTGTGCTCATCTGAGCTGCATGTGAATTCAGGGCAATATGAGTAATAGACTACAGTGAATGCTTGTCTTGAAATTTTTTATAGCAATAATGTTATCTCCGCAAGTAGTAGAGCGTCATGTACCTGGTTTTACGTCATCCCTCAGAGCTGTAAACAACTAGTGGTTCTCCCCATAGAGTTTCCTAATATACAATTGAGGGAACTCTTTCGCTAGTGTCTTTGGGAGCTGCGACGCACGGTGCTCCAGCGAGCATGAGAATGATGGGTAGTCCACACATTTGTCGAATCTTCGTACTTCTGGCCTGATTCTGGCTTCGTTTGTGTTCGTGTGGCTTGGAGCCGTTTCTCACGAAACGAAAAATCAGCAAATGCTCAGCGGTTGCACTTCACCACCTTATTCTTTTAGACTTACCTTTCCAAATCGGGTCACAAAGTTCAAAAGAGTTGAATATTTCTTTCAATACAAAACCAAAGCACAGCAATAAACGAAGCCGCAAGTACGATTCACCGCCCGCAAGTACAAAGACTAGGCAAATGTGTGTACTACCCATCATTCGCATGGTAGCTGAACGATCGCAGCGCCAGAGTCCGCTCTAGTTAATTTTAGGAAACTATATGGTTCTCCCGACACGACTTTAGGTGCTGATGCAGGGCAAGATAAAACATCTTTTTTTTTCTCAACTGATTCGACAAACTGTTCATGTAGCAGTAAACTATGCAAAAACTACATATATCGAGCACCACACAACACAGGTGTACGGCGCGCCAAATGCCGAGCAGTGGCTATTCATTTACTAGCAGTATTTTTATACAGTGCCACAACCTGAAATTTCACCATAACGCGCGCAAGTGGTCAAAATGTTTTTAGCACGATGAAGCACGGTCGAGAAGAAACGTTTTTTATTCCTCCACCGTATTCCTCGCATACGACACTGCATTTCGGGAAGGTTGGCACAGTTGGTGTGCATGTCGTCAGCACATCACTGCAACTTAAATGGTATAACGTTTTCAGCATCTCTCAATTATGATTTAAGAGGCCTCGCCCTGTCTCGATGTTTTGTCAACAACAGGTTTTTGATAGACTGATTAAGATGACGTAGGCTCTAGGGCTGAGTGGAATGCGTGCTGGGACATTGAGTGCTGTACTTTTACAACTATAAAATCAACCAGTATGGTGCAAAAAATCAGTGCGTGGGTTGAAAGTATGACAAGGATTCCCGATACACAGGTAGATCTAAATGTTCAGAAAACGTTGCATGACCACTCTAATTAATAAACTGCTTTGATTCACTGCCCTGATTCACTTAACAAGACACTGCCTTGATTTTCATAACAAAATGAATGAAGTCTGTTTCTTCGTGTGAAGTCTTGAGTTATGTAAACAAGAGCAGCTCCACACATACATCATCATCATTATCATCACCATATTTATCATCATCAATATCTTCATCATCATCATCATCATCATGATCACCGCCAGCCTGGCTACGCCCTCTGCAGGACAAAGGGCTCTCAAAATCTGCCAATCAACCCGGTCTTGTGCTCTTTGTCGCCGCGTTATACCCGCGATCTTTTACTGCGATAGCACTTATATGGACACTTTCGGCTGATTTTTGCCGCCGGTGTCAGCATCGGCTTCACTCACCGTATATGTATACGTATCTATATATATATGAAATAGCAAAAATTCACATCTTTGCCGCATAGGCGAAGCAATGAATACAATAGTAACAAATAGGAAGGTCACGCGCAGAACTGCAAAAAGATTGAAACGTGCCCCGCGTTTCTCACGCACAAATGACGCACGAAAGGTCCTCACTGTTACAGATGAATGCGAATAAGCGTCTCAGTTGCTACTTCGCTGTATCCGAAAAGTGCTCTCCTGCCCCACCGCAGTAGTCTAGTGGCAAACGTACTCGGCAGCTGGCTCGCAAGTCGCGCTATCGAATACCGGCTATGTCGGCTGCATTTTCTAAGGAGGCGAAATTGCTGTAGGCTTGTGTGCTCAGATATTGGTGCACGTTGAAGAGCCTCAGGTGGTGAAACGTTGAGACCCTCCACTAAGGTGTCTGTCATAATCATATGGTGGTTTTAAGACGTTAAAGCCCACATATATATTAATCGATCAATCAATCAATCAATCAATCAAAGCGTGCCCTTTTCGCAAACGGAGGCTGTGCAACGATTGCAGTGACCTTTGTACGCCCCGTAACGACAACCGAATCATTCCAGTGCAAGCCCAACGCCAGCCAAGACGTATGATTCTCCACACTGCAAGATAAGGGCACGTGAGAGCTCATCCACTGCCCTCCTCTCCGCGGGCCAGTGTGCGCGTGAGAGATGAGAGCCGCCACGCGCTCATTGCGACATGTTGCTAATAATGCTGCAAACATGATCGTTACTCCCCGAGATTCCCGCCAACAGTGGTAAGTGGTCGATATAAATATCTTGTCGTTTGAACCTACAAGGAGGTAGCCCTCGGTGGCTCAGTGAATAACGCCTCGCATTTACGACGCGGAGGTCCTACGTTCGATTTCACGCGAAGTCATTTTTTCTGGATTTTTTACTTTCTTGCGTTTTCATATATATATATATATATATACGTATACGTAATGGTGCATGACATCGGCACCGGCCTCGGCAGTTTGACGCCGAAGCTAGCAGTGAAATCTAGCCAAGAGCGTCCAGATAATTTCTATTGCAGTAATAACCCAGAAAAAAACTCCGCTGCGTGGAATCAAACTCTCGTCTTCTCAATCACGAGTGCGAGGCGTGAACCACTGAGCCACCGAGGAGTACGTCCTTCACCATTCAAATGGCAAGATATTTATATTTACCACTCAGCACTGCTCACGGTTGTCTTGAGGTGAACTATCTGTTTTCAGCATTACCAGCAAGATGGCGCAATGAGCGCACGTAGCGACATCACGTGGCGGTGCACACCCTTATCTCTGGGTGGGGAGGAGGGCAGGATCGTACGTCTTGACTGGCCTCGAGCTTTGCCAGGAACGATTCTGTTGTAGTTACCGGGCGCACAAAGGTCACTGCAATCGTTGCACAACCTCCATTTGCGATAAGGGCGCTTTTCAGACACAGCGAAGTAACAACTGAGACGCTCACTGGCGTGCATCTGTACCTGTGAGTACGTTTCGTGTGTCATTTGTGCTTGGCAAACGCGGGGCACGTTTTAATCTATTTTCCATGCTGCGGGTGACCTTCCAATTTGTTGCTATCACGCTAATTGCTTCGACTTTTCAGCAAAGCTGTCACTTTTTGAATCTCACCAGTGGACCTTACTTCTTGTCTCCTCTTCAAGCGTTTATTTTTACTGTTAATCTTGTCAGTTACCCTAATAACCGGTGGTTATCACGTATAAGGAGAAATGTAAAAGAAAAAATAGGACGAAGGATTTCCCACAATACCATTTTCCATCACCACCTGCCTTTATGCTTAAAATACCATAAACTAATTTTGCATAACTATTTCGGGTGCACCTTGACACGAATGCGCCTTTGCGAGACTAATAGGACTCAAGAGCATCAGAAAAGTAAGCTTACAAAGTACTTTTCTCGTTTTTCTATGTACTTTTTAAGTTCATTTCTATTTTTTCTATGTTGTCAGTAACTAAAAAACAGCTTAGCCAAATATTTATTGAAATATCTTCAAGGAGTACTTCAGAATATTTCAATAATTGAGTGTTTTTTTTGTAAAATAAACTGTAGGTGTGTGGAGTTCGCATACACTTATGCAAACTATACTAGTTCTTAAACAATTTTCTTGTTATAGCTCAGAGTGTAGCTTGCATCTGCTATGGATTATCACAATAAATAAACAGATAAAAAGTATGTTAAAGAAGGTGAAATGAGAAGAAACTTAAGGCCATTTTTTCACTTTAAATTGTGTCTCAACAATGCTCCTCTAATTTGAGCCAGGAGCAGGATATATTAGCCCAGAAGAATTGTCTACAAGGAAGTAACTGTGTCTTTTGTTTCCCGCAAACTTGGTGCACAGTAGTAATAGGTTTTTCACTACTATATATCTATGCATTCTGTTGGCAGACTAGAATTTTTGCAGTAAATATTGAAAGAAGCTTCGAGTGAAATAAATTCATCTTTTTATTGCTGATAAGTTTGTAGCATAACTGCAAAGCCAAGCCACTTCATGTACTGTGCATGAAGTGTGAAGCAATTACTGCGTTCTTGGAACATTGGAGCATGGTTATGGTGGTTCTAAGCTGGTGGAATTACATTAAAGGATAAATTAGCATTGGAGACATTCACATCCTAGGCTTTATTTAGGTGCGATTTTTGAGCCCGCCCAAGGAACTCTTGTCTAACAGCCATGACTTTTTGGTTTGTTCGCCACTATTTGACGGCAACAAGAAGAAATGAACATTGGCCGGGCAGGTAGCACGTAGTCAGAATAACCGCTGGTCATTAGGGGTAACTGACTAGATTCCCAGAGAAGGCAAGTGGGTTAGGAGGAGACAGAAATCCAGGCGAACAGATGGGATTAGGAAGTTTGCAGGTACTAAGTGGAAACAGCAAGCACCGAACTGAGTTGACTGGTGGGTCATGAGAGAGGTCTTTGTCCTACAGTGGACGTAGTCAGGCCGGTGATCATCAAGATGTATTGGTGTTGGTGTAGTGAGCTCTGTATAATCGCGGTTCGAGTGTCGTATTTCTCTGGCGCCATTCAACCAAGCCCAGTTATGCCTTACCCGGAAGGTTTGATTGAAAGAACAAATCTCTTCCAAAAAGCGATCACTGTGACTGAGAGATTTTACTTAACGCCAGCAAGCAACATTCAAAATGCGTCCGTTACATTAGTAATTTATAGTTTGATTTTAAAATCTCTGAGTACATAATTTTGTACGCCACTTGTGCTTTCAAACATGTACGCAGAAATGATACTTTTGAAATAACTGACTGCACCCTGAATAGGAGAACAATCACCTTACTTACCAAACGTGGTTTTAATTCATACTCTCGTGATGATGCTTGTGTCTTGAAAGCCCATTTTGCAGAACGCGTTCTCGTTTCTTGAATTTTAAGTGGCTACATGTGTTCTGCCACAATAAAGAAAGGGATAGCGCTGTTTCTGCTATATTTGTCGTCATGTGATCTTGTGTTTTTCTACGGCTTATGATTAATGGCGCTGAATCCCTTGGCATTCGTTTCACTCGCCTTGAGAGTCCATTTTTTCTGTCTCTTCGAAGTTGAATATAGCAGAATAATAAATAGGGACCCCGTTAACAAATGAAACGAGCCGAGGACATAATAGAAATTGTTGTAGGCTCCTTGTTTGTCTCTGAAGAAACCTGTAAGAGAAGTCATATTTCAAAAAACGTCATTGCTGTAACGAGGAATACTGTGGATGTATAGCTGTACCTAAAGTGGGAGAAGTGCAGTAATATCTCGCATTGAGCTTTTTATAACGCTTACTAGAGTCATGCATATACAGGAATACTCACAAAATAATAAACAACACCGAGTGCGTAAGCACTGAATTATTTAGATGATTAGGCATATTAAGCAATGATTACATTATAAAAATGAAGTATTACTAATAAAGATAGAAACAGCAGGCTCACCTAGAATAGACGGGTTGCCGAGAAGCATGGGCAGAAGTACGACGCCGGTTGTAGCCCACGCTACAGGCACTACATCCACACCAAAGAAATCGGCCGCCACCACGTGCTTCATTGTAGTCAAGCATCCCATAAACAGTGACGCCAGAGCCATACAGGGCGCGTACGTTACAAAGCTGGTAGTCGTAGCCAACGTAGCAATACAGGCACCGAAAAGAAAGTAGCAGGCACACGCCAAAGACGCACGGTTTGTCAAAGCTATGTCGGCAATCAACGGAAGTACGGCACGTCCCAAAAGCTGCGACGGTGCGGAACAAGCTATAGATAGGTCTGCTTGGTACCTTGTCGCGCCACGGTCAAGGGCAGAATCCACAATGGTCGCCATAAAAGCGCAGTCGGTGTAGTCCGCTAGAACACCACCCAGAACCAATGCCCAGAAAGTCGGCTTCAAGAAGAGGCTGAGATGGGAGGCTCTTTTCCCCGCGGAACTTTCGTAACTGCTTGCAGCAGGATTGCCATCCATCGCGCAGACAGAGCTTCGCGAAAGAGCGAGCGCAAATCTCGCTCTATATTCTTGAAGGGCTGTGTCGACTTCAGTATCTCCAATTGAGATTCTAGCAGCCCGGAAGCCACCATTGATACCATTTTGGGCAGTTTTTAAACGTTCGAGTCTACATAGATGACCCATCGCGTTCATACTGTTCGCACAATCCTTTGAGGTTTGTGTAGTCATGATACAATCAGGAACAATAGACTCATTTGCTGTCTGCCGATAGAGCGCTGCTTCCGAGCCGGATCCACCCATATGGTCGGAGTTGTCATTAAACTGAAACATATTTTTTTGTCTGTTAACACTAAAGATTTGCTTAATAGTTTTGTCTTGGCTCAGTTTCTCTTTTTGTTGATCTTGTTGTACCGAATGGCAATTTAAGACAGCAGAATTTTCTTTTGCTCCTGCTACTTGTATCTTCAGTCGCTGTGACTTTTGTTCCCACGGGGGTTCCTTTAGGCTAAGGACGAGCGGCGTCAGGTGTAGGCTGATGGCTCCGAATAACAACATCATCTGTCGAAATGAAAAAGTTTCGTCGAGAAGAGCTAGAACTGGCGGGTACAGCAGAGATGAAAGCGAGTATCCGGTGTAGCGTATACCAGTGGCGAAGCCTCGGTACTTGTCGAAGTACATCAACATTATCATGGTTGATGCAACAGACACAATTCCTGATCCAGCACCTGCAAGAAAAACAATGTTAAATTACGGTTACAATATACTGCGTGTCTCACGTCTTTCATAAATATTTATATCATACAACAATTGTTCGGCGTATGCTTAGCATTTGTAAGCTGCCCTTTCCAGACGTGTGTTGTAGACGTGCAGTAACACTTATTCATAACCTATATGGCGGTGGCCGTTCATGCAGCATGATGGACTCCTTCGATGCTTTGAACGTTAGTGTGCACGTTCCCTACGTGGCTGTCGATGCCCAACTGATCTCCGTTACATAAACTGACTGCTCTGCGTTAAGCGACTGCGCTGGTCATCATCTTCGACAGAGCAGAATGATTCATCAAGTCTTGCAGCACAAGCTGTTATTAAAATACAAGAGCCGATTTTGGTGGTGTAATTGTCAGCCACCAGTGCAGCTGCTTCTGTAACCACTATTCCTCCACAGTATCGAGCAGGGATTTTCTATCTGGTGGTCCACACGGCATTCAAATATTTTAGCACTTAGTCTTACCAGGCCTTGTAACTTATTCGCAGGATAACCCTATGCAGGGTTTACGCTGGGCAGATAAGAACGTTAAGGTACATCACATATAGTTTGCAGATTAGCAAAGGTACACCGGTCCCAACACAGTGCGAATAACGTCTCATGTCCGTAGTCAAGAGCTACCCATTTATTGAAAAGTCGTCAGCCATAGTTCTCTAACGCCACGAGCCGCCATAGCGTCAACAAAGAACCCCTAGGGCCGCAAAGACCTGCACTTTATTTCACCACTCGGTCAATCGACAAGTAATGGCCTATTGAGCATTTCCCTACTTCGCTAAATCCTGACTTATGGCATGTTGAGTACCTTGCAACTAGTCTAGCCATAGCCGCCCGAAGAGAGCTTACATAAGGTTGCATAAATGACCCTTCGCCAGATTTTACTGTGATTTCACTGCCTGTTCTGCCCTGGCCTCTTATATTTAGCAGCGGGGGTATTCGTACCATCCGAGCTCGCAAACACTAACATTATCATTAACCGGTTTGGGCCGTGTTCGCCACCTTCCTCACCTCTGCTTCGCCCCTATACACGTGCGCCAATTTGTCCGGTGGGGTGCAGAATAACTTTGATCAGTGATAGATTGAGTACCGGGAGAGAAAGAAAGAGATAGACAAAGAAGGTGAAAGAGAGAAATTCTAGCGGATGCCTAATGACGAGATGGGATTTCCGCCTGCTTACCCGTAAGCTAAAGGTGAGCATGGTAACTGGTACGCAACCCAGGCCTGCAAGAAGTAGTATAACAAGAGGCTGGAAGATGGAAGTGAATGTGAGGAGGTTAGATAGGAGGAAAGAGGAAAGAGAATAGAAAGAAAGAAGTTAGAAAGGAAACCATTACGTACAAAGAAACAGACAATAAGAAAGGGCAGAAAAAAAGAAAAAAATGCAGAAAAATTGTAATCGAAGAAAGATTGTAATTGAGGACGAATTAAAATTCTGTCAATAACCAAAAACTTTCTGAAAACTGCTAAAAAACGCCTTGACTTGCATGATAACGTATAGTAAAAATCAACCTCGTTAAATACCTTTCTAAATCTTTGCCTTCGCTACATGGCTCCGCGCAAAAACACTCACTCAAAAAATCTCTGGCGCTGAACCTTGCGATTCATTACATAAATTTGTAAGGCTCCTAGTAGAACATGTGCATGACTGTGGGTGTGCTTTGCCTATATGCCGTCTACTTCTTGATCCACTGTGCACATCTGCGTAGGTGGATCTATAGTCATAACGTCAGCGTCAGTTTTATAGAGCGGCACACTGCCGAATAAGAGATCCATTAATAGAAACAAGCAAAGCTACCAAGCTCTGTCGTTCGTTCTGGTCCAAGTATAAGGTTGTCTTAAAGAAATACTGACAACAACTTCAATATCTTCCAATTTTTGCTAGAACAAAGCACTGGCGTTGCAAACCCTGAAAAGTGTATTGTGGTGACCTGGAAAGCTTGAAACATTTGTAAGTTTGGGAACGGCTACTTTTAAAAATGACTTTTGGTGCGGATGCCAGGAGGTGGGTTCTCAGTGACGTGTGATCGCAGCGTGACTCGCAGGGACACAGCCACTGGTTAGGTACTAGCCACATATTTTTTTGCATCTGTTTGTGGTACACATATACCACAATTTGTGAATTGCTGTCCAGCTAACCCTACGATGATTTTTGCAACTTACACTGTATATGAGCGCATCACTCGTAAACATGGTGGGAAGAGAGAAAGAGATGAACAGATGAGCACAGCAGGAAGGTTAACCACAAAGTAGTATCTGGTGTGGTATTCTGTAATGTGATTGGAGAAGTGGGTTAAAAAAGAGAGAAATGAATAAATATTGTAAACAAACAACCCCTTTGAATACAAGCGCATACAAACAGACGAGAACGTTCCACACAGCCGTTCTGATAGGCCGGTAGGTCGAACGAAGCCTGATAGCGCTTGCAGGGCCTTCTTCAGGATTGTCAGGTTTGAACAATGGCGTAATAGTCTTTCCATCGGGTAGAGGTTGTTCGTCTAGCTTTTTTAGAGCCACACAAAAGATTGTCTTAGTGGAAAATATTCTGGATAGTCCCACAAGACATGTCAAACAGTTTTTTTTCGTTGCCGTAGTGATCACCAATGGCGGTGTCAGCCAACGCATACTTAACGCATACGCATAGTCGAACACAACGTTCAGCCTAATGTACACAGAATCCTAGCTTCACATTGCCAAAGACAAGATGTAATTAAAAGAATTCATTTGGAATAAGTGGAGTGTAATTGCGCATTCATTAAATATGGGTCATTCTAATTTTGCGTGCTACATTGACGAGTGAGCCTGTGTAGCTTCCGAGAAGCGCCTGTGTTCAAAAGAGGTATTGACAGATCACGTTATTCTGTATATTTTGAACGAGCAGCTTGAATGGCCCGTTCATTGCCGATGACGCTACAGCAACAAGACAGCCATCGAAATTTATTGCGTTGTTTTTTGTCGGTTAGGTGACACCCCATCTCTGCAGTCTCAAATACCAACTGTTCCTTTGAATCACGGTGTAAAGTCCACCATAGAGACAGCAATGCCTCATTGTTGTCACAGAAAGTCGTCCACCTTTTTTTTCCGTCAGTCCTTAATGAGAAGCAACATGGCGTGAAGCGCTGTGATTTCTGCAAGATCTGCTGCCATCGAAGCTGTTGGGTGAGACATCCTGAATCGACAGTTCTAGCTATCATCGGAGTCACGAGCGGTGCTGTTGAGCTGTTCAAATATGTCGGAGGCATTGCTGTAGACGGGAGTAGAGCCTTCGTACTTCTCTTATAACAAAAGTAAAACATGCTGTTCAGGAGCTGGCGCCGAAAGATCTTGCTTTTCTTGGGTGCGTGGTATTGTCAAGCTAATAAAAGGCAGATTGAGGCGCAATGTAGGAACCGAAGGTCTCGCTGCAGGCGTGAAGGCAGTCGGAAAATTTTCGCTATATATGTGCAGTTACCATTAGGCCAGGAATGAGTGAATTGTACCTTTACTCCGGGCAATAAGGTCGACCCGTTTCCATCTTTTTCACGAAGAAGCTTACTTTATTTTACAACCTGTACAGTTGTAACAAAGCACTGGGTGACGTCTCTCAAGTCTCACCAGCTGAAAAATTATGGAGGTGAGAAATTCCTGTCAACTGCCTTTTCAGGTACAAGACGTGAGTACTCTATGATAAGTCCCTGTCCATTATGACTTGCCTTTTTTGTGCTATTAACCTTCAGTATGCAAAACCGACTAGCCCAGTGAACTACTATGTCATGACGCTCAGAAACTTGTGTGATTTCAATTGCAGTATATTTTGACCGTTGACTGCCACACTGTAGTTTGTCATGGGTTTGCGCGTCAATCAATTCCGGAAGACACACTTTTCAGTAGACATTTCCACACCTACTCTAAGAAGGTACAGAGCTGATCAATGAGAATGCAGCTCTCTGAATGCTAAAGCCATCTTGCAAGTAGGTACGGCGGATGCGCAGATGCAGATATCTGCGCACGCTGGCAGCAAAAGGTGCTTGGCAAGTGTGCATGAAGAGCAATCAGGGTAAAATCCAATAATAACGCCATGATAACTGTATCGTACGAGAGTGTGCTCGTCTTCTATGGCCACAAAAACAAGTTGCATGCAAAGACAGCTGCGTATCCATTTAAACATTCAACCATCCAACTAGACGTCTTTCAGAGCAGCAAGAACAATTTCATACGTAACGTCGAAGGGCCTTTGACCTCGAGGAACTAAGACGTGCAAAGACGCATACAGCCCCACTCGATGTAGGTGGTTAGGTCTCTAACGCTAGCGAATCATGATCGACCACGTCGGAAGCCTGCCATTGCATTCGGGCCTTTATCATTGTACTCCATGTGCCATTACAGGCATCCAAGGACCATCCTATTCATCACTTTGCCCACGCAACTATCCAAGAGGATCTAACATATTGTATGAAGGGAGCTCCAGCGCTGACTTACCAGGCTTCAACAGTGGTGCGAAACTACTGGTTTTCCAATTTAATAGAAGTGTGCGCACCTGTCATGATTGGGTATAATAATAAAGTGGAGCGATTCTCGTGGGATCACCCAGATGAGAGAGGGCTCTGTAGGAAATTCCGTCAGGCACCAGTCCTCAGTGGAACTGGGCTGACTCGTCAAGATTATAATATCTATTGCGGAGGTGTTACCTCGCAGATGCTGAGCAACCTAAACTTTGAAATCGTAGTAAAATATTTTAGAGGACTTGCCTTAGCCCAGCGTGTGAAAAGCACTGACACAGCGCACCAAGTAAACGTTGATTATGTCGGTTGGCGTGCCTTAAAACGGAATCGGTACTCTAAATCATCCCACAGCAGATCTCTCATGCCCGCAGCTTGTCAGGTTCATGGTGTACACAAGCAATTATTATCATCATTATGCCTGTGCGGTCACGTGAAGCCAATTTAAGCATAGTCGTGCCTTGCTAAGCCAGGGTAATCAGAGCCA